TCGAACCCGTAAAAGGGAGAGTAAAAAGATGAATTAAGGAAAGGTGTTTTAACCGATGACACTGGAACGAGGATTTGGAATACACATATATTTATTTTTTTTTTTTTTTTTTTTTTTTTTTTTTTTTTTTTTTTAGCGAGATCGGGTTTATAGGAAGTCGTAAGATCGATCGATCAAGTCATTTGGAATAATCAATTTGAATTGTTCTGCTTTCTCTATTTTTTAGATTTCGTACGTAGTTAGTGACGACCCCTCAGAAGAGTGCAATGATGGCGAACGGAATGGACACCGTTGTACAACAAAATGGAGGATCCACCCTCGGACAGACATCGCAGGAGGAGTCGAAAACGAATCTCATCGTCAATTATTTGCCTCAAAGTATGACGCAGGATGAGATCCGTTCTCTCTTTTCGAGTATAGGAGAGGTCGAGAGCTGCAAGCTTATCCGCGACAAACTTACCGGTAAGAAATTTCAATCAATCGGTTATTATTAAGTAATCTGAGTTATATATATAAACTATATTATATAAATGATATAAATAAATATATATATTTATATATTTATTTATTTCATGGTTTATTAATATTATTATAATTCGACGTAAAACAAAATAATTAATAAATTCAATTTCTCCCGTTTTTTTTTTTATTAAGGCTAATTTTATAATTACTCTTGTAAATATATAATTATAAATACGTATATGCATTGCATATGTATGTACATGTATATAGATTTCTTTATACGTTCCATGGCTAATTTCTTTTTAAATCATTGAAACAACAATGCATCGTGAGTTGCTAGTTTTACGAATGCTAGAACAAGAAAATGGATTAAAAATTGCTATATATATATGAAGGAGAAGGGAAAGCAATTCAAAGAAAGAGAGAAAGAGAGAAGGAAAGAGAACACCTGTCAGTAACAGCTGTTATTCTACGTTTTCTAATCGGATTCTCACGATAAAATCGATTTGCCTGAAATTTTATCGATTATAACTAGTAGACTGAACAGTTTAACAATCACGTAGGCGTATATAATAATGGCGAAATATCATTAGAATCCTACTATTCGCGAACGTGCAAATACACGTATTTCTAAAACGAATCATTTCTAATAATGTTTTCTTTTTTTTAATCGTTCCTTTAGTAAAATGATTATTAATGTTACGAAATATTTCTAAACACTGTTGTGCAACTGCATAATTATTTGAATAAAAGATAGAAAAAAAAATGAATAAAGAAAAACAAAACAAAAATGGAAAAAAGCAAAGAAGATCGTCTTCATTGCAAAGTGATGACGTAATTTGGGCGTCAAGAGAGAGTACACACAAAGTATTGGCTTCTCTACTAGCTAGTAGATCTATTTCGCTAAATAGAGGATGAGGGCATGGCTTATAAACTTGGACGATTATAAATACGCGAAATGTTGTATAAATCCTCTTCCACGAATAGTGACTATTATTTCAGGACAGTGGTTGTGAGCATCGTTTTGTTGTTACTTCGATGAATTGAAAAAAAAGGTTATTCGAGAAGAAGTACAAATTTATATCGCACCAAAACAAAGATAAAAAAATTTTTAATATTTTGTGCAATAAGATGAAAAAATAAAGAGAAAACTAAATAATAAATCGATGAATAGATAAATAGGAAAATAGATAGATAGATAAATTGATAGATGGATAGATGGGGATAGATAAATAGATAAATAGATAAAATGAAAACGTGCGTAGACGTTGCGTCTCTATTTTTGGCAAGTAAAGAGCGGGGGCGTCATTTGGTTTGAAGCTTTGCCGCTTTATGCTTGACCTCACTGCGTGTAAAATTGCAGGACCGTATCAAACGTGGGTGGGAGTGTGTGCTCTTTTTCGAAATTTCACGTCATCGTTTTTGCGCACGATATATATCTATATGTTTGTATATATACATATCTATATATATATATATCTACATATACATACGGTGAGTCAAAAGTACATATGTTCTCAAATTTTGTGAATTCGTTTCTTGATATAAAGTGTGTGAATCAATAATTTTATTAGTTATCGCTGCTTTAAAATTTTCATTAGAAGTCAGTAGTATCAAATGATGGCTGAAGAAAAATATCTTGTTATTGTTTCCATTTTTGTATTTCTATAATAAAGCGTCTTGAACATAATATTCATAGAAATAATTTATTCACACTTTATATCGGGAAACACGTTTCTAAAATTTGAAATCATATATTTTTTGCTCATCCTATATATATGTTAGCATTGATGTTACAATTATTTATATTGTAAAATAAATCAGAATTCTGTAAAAGATATTTTAACTTATTGTTAGTCGATTGTCGTATTTACCGACATAAATAATGATAATATTTGAAGCGATAGCATAGTTTATTGCATCATTCTGTATCTATTGTATTTTGATGATATCTTTCATTCCATGAATTGCATCTTTTAATAATAATCATACTTATTTCTTTACTTGCAGGTCAGAGTTTGGGATATGGCTTCGTTAATTACCATCGACCTGAAGACGCTGAGAAGGCCATAAACACGCTTAATGGTCTTCGTCTGCAAAATAAAACGATCAAGGTCAGTCTAGAAAATACATTAGTAATAAAATTTAATGTACCTAGTCTCAGATAAGATTGTATCTATAATTCTGCTGATTTTTCACTTTATTAATTGAAGCCTCACTTTTGTCAGGTATCGTACGCGAGACCGAGCAGTGAAGCAATCAAAGGTGCGAACCTTTACGTGAGTGGTTTGCCGAAGAATATGACGCAGTCGGACTTAGAGAACCTTTTCAATCCTTACGGAAGGATCATTACTTCTCGAATACTCTGCGACAACATCACTGGTAAGTTGTCGAGGGAGCCAAGAAACAAGATAATGCATCATGTTAATCTTGCATTCGATAGATATAAACGACACACAATTAAGTTTTTATTTAGAACTACAAAAAAGAAAGAATAAAAAAAAAGAATGGAATTTTTGGCCACGAGGGAGGAATGGCTATAAACGTGGAGGAGTCGAATTCTAAGATAAATAGAAAACCTACTGCACGCAACATTAGGTGTATAAACAGCAAATTAGAAATAATATGTTATATACTTTATTAAATATTTATAATCGCGCGTTTCAAACACGTCCGGGTGATGGGGCTTCTATTATTGATTCTTTGCAAAAAAAAAGATCGTAATCTCTGTGTACTTTCTCGATTCGATCTCATCATTTTATATCGTGAGGTGATACATTAATAAATACGTTCCCACGCCTTTGTTCTAACGACAGAAAGAAAAGGAAATAAAATAAAACAAAAAAAATCAATTTAACATTGAAATTTCCCGCTTCCGGTATACGGTTTACGATCGAAAAACAAATTATCATGTTGGTTGTTGCAAAAAACTACTAAACTATATTAATGAACCCTCAACCTTGTATTGAGTTTGATCTCAAAAAAGGCGGATGAAAAAGCATATGCGACGAGAAAAAAAAAAGAAAGAGAAGGATAGGTGAGTAGGCCATGGGGTTGAAGTTGTATGTGGGCTGGGTCGGTGCGCCTTTCATCGTAGTGAGAACGAAAATACGATCATGAAAAATGATAATCGTGGTCAGTGAATGAGAACCGTCGTCATATTGGTTGCTATTTTTCCGTTTTTTTTTTTTTTTTTTTCATTTTTTACCCGTTCTACAATTATTTCTCTCTCTCTTTTTCTTTCTCTCTTACTCTTTCTATTTTTGTCTCCTGGAAATCGTTATATTTGTTATTTTTTATTATTTTTTATTTACTAGTTCCTTCGTTTCCAACAGGAGCATCAATTAAAACAGTAATGATAATAATAATAATACTTAATAGTTGTAATAAAAATTATAATAGAGTTATTATACTTCCACGATATAACAATTTCAAAGTACGATAAGCTTCTTAAAAGTTATTTGTTTTTTATTTTTGTTCGTCGTAATCCGATATATACCATGAACCCTGATCTTGACCTCCCTGTTTGCACACACAGTCTCATGGCCTATCCACTTCTTCACCGTTTATATCTCATACCCGTCGCTTATTTTCTCCTCGGACAACCAACCCTAGTTCTCCACTCTCTTATATCTATGAGATATCTTTTTCTGTTTAGTTATATTGTCCAAACTCCTTAAAGTGTTTAATTATACAAGAATGGTTAATTTTAATGGCCATTATAATGGCTAGAATTATTTTAATATAATTATGATAATTATAATTTTTGTTCGTTCCGATGAGAGAATAATAATTGTTATCGATAATGAGATTGTTAATAAAAAAAAAAAAAAAAAAAAAAAAAAAAAAGAAAAAAAAGAAAGAAAGAAAGAAATAAGGAGAAAAAAAAAACGAAGAAAATTAAAATAATTGATGTCAATTAATTATTCGGCAAGGAGAAATATGTATATGTATATTACGTGTTCTTTTCTCGCTTTATCCATTTTTTTCTTTTTTTCGTTCTCTCCTCGTTGCGAGCTCGCATCCACTTTTTATAAGTCTTTTTAATACCGCATGAAAAAAAAAAAAAATTCCTCGAATTTTTATACTCTTTCTATTACTATATGTACGTTTGTTTTCGGCGACGAAGCCCCTCCCCTCACCCTCGCGATCTACCGTATATATGTTAAGTATCATGAAGGAAAGTAGCGTGTAAAATAAAAACACGAAAATCGCTCTCCCCTTATTTGAGACATTTTTCATTTTGACGGCGTTCTTCTGTTACGCTTTATCCTTCATCTTTTACGTTATAACGTTCTCTATTTATTTCTTATACAAACAATTGTCGGCGAATATTTAAATAAATAAATAAATAAGCGATGCATTCGGCAACAAAATAATTGTCTTCTATGCAAAATAAATTCGAGGTAATAATATTACTTATCGCGGTTATAATAACATAACGTAAAATATTTTTCATTTCTTTTCGTAAATTCTTCAATAATTGTTCATTCAGACGGAAGACAAGAAAACTTCATGACAATTCGGATTATATATTATTTTTCGAACGCGCGTATCGATATATATATATATATATATGATTTATTTTGCGTTCAAATCTCCCGCGTAATTCACAATGTATGACAATATGGCGGGTCTATTGCCAAATGCATTTATTTCTCGTGTATAAAACGAACGCGTAACGATTCCTCGTGCTGAGCGCGAAATTTAAATATATATATATGCGTGCGTGCGCGTGTGTATTTTTGTGTGTTGTCAGTCTGATACATATGTACACACATGTATATGTATATATGTACATATTAATGAATGTAAAAAAAAAAAAAAGAAAACGAAAAAAAAGAATACGCCTCCTGCGTTGTTGTGTTGAGTCGGCAAAAATAAGGGGCGAGCGAAACCGTGCTTTCAAAGTTGACTTTAACGAGATATGATTTTTTCCGTTTCTGTTTAGTACGACAGTTTGTGCTCGGCGGCGGAGACAATTTGCCCGGTACGTAACTCATAACTCTCTTTTTTCTTTTCCCTCATTTTCCTAATTAAAGAAAAAGAGAATAGACAAGAAAACGTCTCTCTTTCTCTCTCTCTCTCTTTGTCTCTTTCTCTCTCTCTCTCTCTCTCTCTCTGTCTCTATATATATCTATCTATCTATTTTCTCTCTCATTATTGCGCGCGAGCTTCTTGCGATTTTTGGAATCGCAACACATTATATTCAGCATACACACAAACACACATACACACACACTTTCAGACTCGTAGACATATAATACTTCAATCAATTCACGCTATCATTCATTTTGTTTATAACGTATTGCAGGAAAATCAAAACGGTTCGTAGAATGATTTCACAAAATTTCAATCATTTCGATGCCATTTTGTGACCTTTACAATAAGTTTACCACGATCGGTTAAAAATTAATTTTCAATTTTGAATGAACATTACTTTTCTTCATTTGTCCTTATGATAATTATTATTATTATAAATATTGTTAAATTAAATAAACAATATAATTTTCGTTAAAAACTAATTATTCGAACAGTAATGGTAATCAGTAACAGGTAAACAAACTGTCAAGAAAGTTTAGTGTTACATATAAATTATAGAAAAACGAAACTTTTAATTCTCGTTTGTTTAAAAATTGCTTGTATTAATATTCAGATATATACAAATGTGATTGGATTAAAATAATGCTACGAATTGATTTGTTTTACTTGTCATTAATGAAAAAGTCACAGTTTCGATGCATGGTCGAGGATTAGAATGAATGTAATTATTTGGTGAATGAAAAATTGATTTCAATCATTTTCTCCTGATCGTGTTTTTCGAAAAAGAATGACAGAGACGGAATATTATTGTGTTTAATAGTAATTTTTACTGTAATATCCTCGACCAAGTGCCGAATGATGCGATATTCATTGTACGATGATTGCAAAATGAGAAAGAACAAATAAGAAATAAGAGAATAATTTATGTTTTTTTTATTCTTTTCTCTTCTCTCTTATTTCGTATGATTTCGAAGCTAATCTTGTTTTTTTTTGTCTCTTTTTTCGTACTTTGCACAACACACAAAAAAACAATCAAGCTAAAGACGAACAAAAACATGCAACGAGCTAACGAATACAATTAAATACATACGCACAAATGTGCATATGCAGAAATGGCACATGTACAAAATATAATATAACGCACAAAAAACACACAAATCACACGAGACGAACGTATACTATTACACAGAGACGAAAAAATAAAACACACGCACACACCCAGAGTTCCTCCTGAGCGCTATTTTTGTTTCTTTACGCTTTTTGTCGTTCATTATGATTATTATTTGCAATATTATATATTATATAGCAACATATTTTTCTATATACAATATTACGTATATTTCAATGCGCGACAACTCGCTCTCTTTTTCTTGTTCCTTCCTACCGCGATATATCCGTTTCATTTGAACAATGATGAATGATTATGATTATCATTACTATTATTGTTATTATTATTATATTTGTGACAATTATGTTGATTATGGTGACTATGACGATGATAATAATTGTGCAATTGATTTAATATGATGATGGTGATAATGATGATGATTATGATGACGTTTATGATGATTATGATTAATTTAATTATGATGATGATGTTGATGATGATGATGAGTATGACGATGATGATGATGAGGATGATGATGATGATGTTGATGATGATGATGATGAAGATACAAAAAGACAAAAAAGCAAGACGGCATATTTTTGTCAGATGTAAAGAAACGAATCTGCGCGCACCGAGCCACTCACTTTTTTTATGAATAAAAACCACTGCGTCGACGTATCGATTTTTCTCATTTTGTCATTCTCGTCGATTTGCATCGACGAGATTTTCAACGAATCGATCGAGTCGCAGGATGATACAAACTTTATTCTCCGTTGGGAAAACAATCAACGACGTACACCTATTCAATTGTAATAGAAAATTATTTTTATTGGATCAAATATTTTTTGTTAAGATTAAGAGTGACGCCATGATTGTATTTTCAACGAATTTGGACAAATAACTACGATCAAAAATTAGACTCTGCAACAATAGAGTTCTAACTCTTGTCGAGATTTTTCGACGATTGGTAAAATACGAACTTTGTCGATCGTGGTTATCTTTTTTCTATTTCTTTCTCTTTCTCTTTTTCTCTCAAATTAAACAAAAATAAAAGAAAAAAGAAAATATTAAATGAGACCTTATTAATATTAAAAAAAAATATTGTTTTGCAATTTAAGCGACAAGGAATCGTACACGACAATGAAGATATTATTACTAAATTACACGTATATCATTTAAAGACATTTACGGTGACTGACATTCTATCTTAGTCTCATGGATCGTATATAAATGATCAAAATTTCAAAAATAACCTAATAGCATAAACATATTATGATCCATGCGACATAGAACACGTTAATCTTCTTTTCGTTTCTCTTCAAAACCAACGAATATTTTCTCTATTCCTGTCGCTAAATTCGCAACTGTCTATTTTTTTTTGTTCTTAACCGTTTTAGTGCCAGGGGTTTTGAACAATCCATGTCGGGATCGTACCGATAGCGCTTTGTTTCAATTTAAACCCCGAGAAATGCGGGATCGTCGCGATAGCGCTGCTCATTATTAACTTTAGCGTTGTATGGCCCTAAAACGGTTAATGATCATCATATTATATAATTATCGGCAAATTAGCGAATAATAATCGATATCTCTTTTGTCTTTTTTTTCTTCTCCCGTAACCCACCCCATCGACAAAAACTGTGGATCGATGAACAACGACAGGCTTGTCGAAAGGGGTCGGTTTTATAAGGTTTGACCAACGTGTCGAGGCCGAAAGGGCGATTCAAGAACTGAATGGAAGCGTTCCAAAGGGCTCGAGTGAGCCGATCACCGTCAAATTTGCCAACAATCCAAGCAACAACAAGGCGATACCGCCGTTGGCCTATCTGGCACCCCAGGCGACACGTCGCTTTGGCGGCCCGATCCACCATCCAACTGGCCGCTTCAGGTACATTCCACTGTCGCCACTATCCAGGTACCTACTCGCCTCTACTCGCTCTACCCAAAAATCTCGTTCTCTATTTCTTTTATATTATCACTATTCTCACTGTCTCTCTCTCTCTCTCTCTCTCTCTCTCTCTCTCTCTCTCTCTCTCTATCTCTCTCTTATCTGTATTTATCTATTGATCTTTTCATTATAATCTCATTATCTTCAATTCCAACAAATTCTTACCTTCCTACCTGTATCNCATTATAATCTCATTATCTTCAATTCCAACAAATTCTTACCTTCCTACCTGTATCATTCTTTTATTTCATCTAAGCGCACAAAATCAAGAAACAATCGACCAAATCGATCGATCAATCCATAGGCTGATCCTAGGATCTCCATAGGTTTCTTCCATTTTTCCTCTCTCTCTTTTTCTCTCTCTCTCTCTCTCTGTCTTTTTCTATCTTTCTCTATCTTTCTCTATCTTTATCCTGTTTGTCTTATCCGTCATTTTAAACAAGAAGAAATAAATTATTTTCCGAACGATGCTTTTTTACTTTATTTCGATGATTTTTTTTTGTTTTCACAGTCCATCCTGATCTGGCGAGTAAGAAAACGTAATATAATAGAGATTAAGAAGGAGAGTTAGAGAACTATTTTTAGAATGATTTCTATTACACTACTTATAAATACATTCTCTTTGTCATTTAATCTCTTTTTCTCTCTTTATCTCTCTCTGTCACTATCTCTCTTTCTTTTTCTCATTTTTTTCTCTAACTCGTCGTTGTTAACGTCGGAAGGAGGAGGATTGCTCGAGTTAGTGAAGAAATTAACGAATTTACTTTCACACGGGATTTGTGACGAGACGGTCTGCCGCGAGTGCGAAACAAGAAAAATTCATCAAGTCGAACATACTTTTCTATTTACTTTTTTTTACTCCTTGCTATTATTTTATTTTTTTATTGTTTTCATTTCCATCTATAAAAATAAAGCATTTTGCAGTAAAGTGACAATTAAATGGTTTGCTTCCTCGAAAGAGGACCTCTCATATATAGATATATATATAAATTTTTTTTCTTTTCTTTTTTTGTGTTTTATTTATTTATTTATTTATTTATCTTTATTTCGTTTATAATCAAAATCATAAAATTCGTGAGTTGTGATATTAGATATTTTATTTTGTGTCGTCTAACATAGCAAAATCCTCGTCCTTTCTACATCTTTGTGGTGGCTCTGTGATGTTGTCATTTATATACATGTACATATGTACATGTATATTATATATTCCGCTTTATATAAGTATAATTATATTTCCCAATACCCGTGTTGATTAAATAATATGGTGGAGCAAACGATTCGTTTGATCGATCGATTTATCTCTATTTCATCTGTTTCATTTATGCACTAAATCGTTTATTTTCCTTCACTCTTTCTCTTTCTTTCTTTATTTCTCTTTCTCTCTCTTTTATTCTCCCTCTTTTTTCCCCTCTTTTTTCATTTCTCCTTTCTGTTCCTGTTTTCTTCATCTTTTTATCCTATGTTCCATCCTTTTTATTTCCATTTCTGTTCATCAACAACGTTTCTTATGTTTTTTGAATAACGCGTCTTTCCTTTATCGATTATATGTCATGCATACCTGTACTTATGACAGTGGATTAAATTACAAAAAATGACAAAAATTGATTTTATAATTTATATAATATTATATAATTTTGTATATTATAAAATAAATCATAAAATCAATTATTTCAATTTTTTTGGTATAATTGATCTACTGTTATAATTACTGATAACATGTATACGAAAATAAATTGCATATTTTTTCCACGGTTATGCATGTATTTATAATTTTTTGAGCCATTTTGTGCGGTCACGTGTGTACTTTTTTCGGATTCGCGATAGACACAATTTAAAAAAAAGAAAAAAAATATATCAGAAGTAACGGAAAAAGTATGTATGAATATAATAATATCCCTTTCTAAGTATATTTTTTGAGTAGTTAACGCTTTTGCTTTTGCTTGCGTTTTTTATCAGTTACATTTTGCCGCCCTCTTTCGTGACCCTTAAATCCACTTGTATCAATTTTATTTCAAAGTTTCGTTGCTCCCCCCCTTTCCTTTTCTTTCGTTCTTTTCCCTTTTCTCTTTTTTCTCTTCTCTTTCTCTTACTCTCTCTTAATTTCTTCTCTCTCTCTCTATCTCTCTCTATCTCTTTCTCTCTCTTTCTCTCTTTTTCCTTCTCTTTCTTTCTTTCCCGATTCCTAACCCAATCCTTAGATTGATTCAGGAAACAAGAAAAAATGAAAAAGAACAAACGGAAGTGCGACTCATAGAAAGTAGTGAAGTATGTTTTGCATCAAAATCAAAATCCAAAATCCAATAATTTTAAAAAAAAAAAAAAAAAGAAAAAAACGAAAAAAAAATACTAGGAAGCGCCCGACTTTTATCCCGACTTTTTTGGCTCGATCCCGGAGTATCTATCTTCTTACGTTGTTCTTTTTGTGTTTTGTTTTAGCACTGGCAAGGCCATGCTTGCCATTAACAAAGGCTTACAGAGGTCAGTATTTTTTTCGTTACTACCAAAGTATGTTCCTCCCTTTTCTGTTCCATTGGTTCACTTCTTTCTTGCCATTTTGTTTGGTCTCTCTTTCTTTCTCTCTCTCTCTCTATCTCTTTCTCTCTCTCTCTCACTCTCTCTCGCTTTTTCTATCTTTTTGTTATTTTGTGGTTTTTTTTAGTACTATCTGCGTGTGTTTACCTTGTTTGGTTTAATTGGTCCATCGTTTTTCTTTCTTTCTTCCATCTCATTTTCTCTCTCTCTCTCTCTCTCTCTCTCTCTTTCTTTCTTTCTCTTTGTTCCTCTGTCTCAAACTATCTCTCAAACTTTCTCGAACTCTAACTCTTTCTCTTTAACTTTCTATCTATCTATCTATCTATCTATCTATCTATCTATCTATCCATCTGTCTCTCCGTTTCTCTGTATGTCTGTCTGTCTGTCTGTCTGTCTAATTGTCTGATTGTGTGACCGTCTGTTTTTTTTTCTCTCTCTCTCTCTCTCTCTCTCTCTCTTTCTCTTTCTCTCTATATATTTTCTTTACTCTATACTTTTATCACACTTCGTACTTTTTCTCTCACGAGTATGCACACGATGCTCTCCAGTTACATGCACGCGATGACGGTACAGCTAATACGGTCGACGATGACTCCGGGGCTCTTTTTTCCTTCTTTACTCTTTTTCTTTTTTTTTTCTTTTCTTTTATTTTCTTTTTTTTTTTTGCAAACTAAGCTACTCGAATCTATGTCGAGTGTGCCTGCAAATGGAAAGCTACAATTTCTCTTACACGGTGTGTTACATTTTTTTTTTGGTTCCTTTCCTTTCCTTTTCTTTTCGTTTTCGACTTCTTATTTTTTGCTATTGTCATGTTTTTTTTTTTATTTTTATTTCTTCCATTATTCGTTTTATTTCACCTCACGTGCATACCTACTTATTTACTTACATGTTTTTCTATCCTTTTCTTATCTTTGCTAGTAGTAACACCATTGTAGATCGCGTTATTATTTTTTGTTTGCATTCGATATATCAATTAATCCGTAGTAAAGTGTGTCTAATTCTTGTTTTTTTTGTTTTTTTCTTTTCCCCCACAAATTGTTTCTTAACAAACTTTTTTATTTCTTTTTTTGTGTGCATTGTGTGATGATGCGGTTAAATCATTTATGATTATTGTTTTATCTGTATATACAATATTAAACGAGGATATATTTTTTTTGATTCGTTTCTTATTTCCTTTTATGTTTGTTTGTTTGTTCGTTCGTTCGTTTGTTTGTTCATTAGTTTGATTGTTAGTTTGTTGTTCATATTAGTCGTTTTTGCAATAATGTAGGAAAGAACGTCCCTTCTGAGAAACTTTGAATGATATCAACCATTCGAAGCTTTATATGTAATTTTATTTGTAAGTTTTATTCATTTTATCGAAAAGATTTAGTTAATGAGAAAAAATTCGATTAACGGTATTCAATTTGGATGGTATCTATTCCATTAAGCAAATGTTTAAGAGCATAATATAATGTATGGGCATTTTTTGTAAAGTACTTTTGTTAAAAATCGATATTGTAATTAACTTCTGAAAAAGAAGAGCCCTGGATTAGAGAAAAACTTTCGGAATAACATATTGTTGCATTAATTCAATAAATTTCGAGTAATTTTTAAGGACCAATCAAACGAAGGAACAACGTAAATTTTAAACGATACCTAATATTAATCTATTGTTAAAAAATGTATTAAATCATAAGAAATACCTTGATTTGATCTAATCAAATGAACAGTTACAAAACCTATACGAGTTTGAAGAAATTTAAGAAAATTTTATTGAAGTTTTCATGGAGATGATTTATCAATAATTAATAAATAACGCAAAGAAAGATCAATATTATTAACCCTTTGTACTCGTATGCCAGTAAAGTTAATGTCATGATTTATTTCAGCAACACGAAATTCCAAAACAGCTGACATAAGTATTTAATTACAATTTTATTAAATTAAACTTTAATGATTTTCTATTTTCAATTAAAAAGTTAGCTAAATGTTTTCCTGCTAAATTATATTTAAAATTATCGAGTTGGCGGAAGGAAATGTGAAAGTAATTCCCGAGAGTGCGAAGGGTTAAATAATGCAAAAAAAAAAAAAGAATTTTCATTAAAAATTATATTTTCGTTTGAATGTATTCACGACGAACATACTTACTCGCGCACTATGTTTTACATTTCGTCGTGTTCCTTCGTAAGAGTTTTCACCCCCTGGAGAGTCCTCCTAACGAGGACGATCCATTCCCGGTTTGAGCAAAGCACACACGAAAGAAGTCTATCATCGAGTTCTTAAATACACAAATACACGTATATCTAGAAACACTTGTGCACGCTCACGTACCGGGAAGAAGAAAAGGTGTGTGTTGGTGGTCCACACGTGTTTCTCTTCCGAATATTTTAGTAATATTTCAAATGTCTCAACGTTAATAACTCATTCGATGTCAGATGCATAGTTAATTGTTAATTGTTAATCTCGGTAATTAAAATATTCAATACTCACCGAGATGTGCCCTGTTTTAACGCGGCTTGTGACGTCAAGTAGGTACGTACTCTTTTAAAACATTTGTAAATATATTCGATATCGCGATTGATCATATTTTTTCTCTTCTTTGTATTAAAAACAAAAAAAAAAAAATAAGGAAAAACAAAAAAAGAACAATATTGTGTAATATATGTGTGTGTATTTTTGATCTCGTCTTCGCCGACTGCATGTGTCGATGACAGAATTTCTTTTCTTTTTTTTTAATTTCTCTTCTCTTGTTCTTCTTTCCGATTTATTTTTTGTCTACTTTCTTTTTGAGTTCTTCTTTACTTCTATAAAAAAAAGTTTATTACTCCTTCTCGCAGGATGCATCCGACGAAGATATTCCTATTCCGTTTTTACGTATTAAAAAGATGAAATAGTTTTTATGTAGTTTATTTTAGCTTATCGGTTTAGTTTAGAATTTGAAAAATTAGAGTACGAGCGCGTTGCAGCGGACGTTATCCTCATCTCACAATTATATTTTTCATTTATGACCTATTCTACAACTTCATCTTTAATAAATTTGCATGCTCGTTTGAGAGAGTACGTTTTTTTCTTTTTTATTTTTGTTTTGTGTTTTTTTTTTTTAGGTTTTCTTTCGGCCCTCTTTCGTCGTAACCATCGTACATTATAACACGTGTTCATTTTTTTTATGTTTATATATTTATATGTATTTGAAGGATAGCGTAAAAAAGGAGGTGCGTTTTTATTTTGGATAGTTGCAGTTTTAATCTAATGTTTTATGTAAGTTTTTAACTATTAAGGAAACGAGGGAAGAAACTTTTTGCAAGTTCGTGCAAAAAAAAAAAGAATTGTGATGTTGGAAAAAGTACCTACCCTTTTTACTTCTCCAATTATCATACTATTTGTAAGATAAATCACGGTTGAACATTTCAAGTAAAGCCGTAACTTATTCGATATTTTTTTTATTACTAAATCTATTGATAATTTATGTATACTTATTTATATACCGTAACCGATCTTTACAAAAAGTTATATTTTGTAGAAATAAATTCGGAAAATAGTTGATTTGGTATTGATTTAAATGATAAATAAAACAATTTTTATATAATAATATAATAATAATTATAATTACAATTGCTATAAAGTCAAACGAATAAAAACCGTAGAAGTCGAATGTAGAATTTTAATTGAAAATTAAAAATCCGGTTATTAGAATGATTCGATCCATTAAGTGTTAAAGTTAAAATATGTCCAGTACGTTGATGACACTTTACATTCCCGTGCTGTTTTGTCCTTTTGTCGAAAAATGGCTATATATGTGCAGAAATATATACGTAGGTATACGTATTCGTGGCAAAATTCTATGGCTCGTGATTCTATCGGCAAAATGGCTCCGCGCGAAACGTAATTTTACTATAAATCGTACTATTGACTATAAAAGGAAAATAAAAGGAAAGAAATATATAAATGAAATAAAATGAAATAGAAAAAAGAAAGATTGAAGGAGAAGAGCGTCCGTTTGATCGGAACGATGGAACGGTGTTGCAGGTACAGTCCGTTGGCGGGTGACCTCCTTGCGAACTCAATGCTGCCGGGTAACGCGATGAATGGTTCCGGTTGGTGCATCTTCGTCTACAACCTGGCACCCGAGACCGAGGAAAACGTCCTGTGGCAACTCTTCGGTCCTTTCGGCGCCGTCCAGTCGGTGAAGGTTATCCGGGACCTTCAGACAAACAAGTGCAAGGGTTTCGGTTTCGTAACGATGACCAATTACGAAGAGGCGGTGGTGGCTATTCAGAGCCTGAACGGTTATACCCTTGGCAATCGCGTGCTTCAGGTTAGCTTCAAGACGAACAAAAGCAAAACCGCGTAGGGCAAACAACAACAAGCAGCAGCAGCGGCAGCTGCAGCGGCAGTGGTAGCTGCCGCTGCGGCGGATGCGGTAGCGGTAGCAGCAGCAGCCTACGATCATCGTGAGCGACTCTTACGTACGGTGGCACAGCTTCCGGTAGCTTTACCAGCTCATGTCTACACCAAGAGAACCAATCATCAGCAGCACCAGCAACAACAACACCACAACCACCACCACCACCAACATCACCACCAACAGCAACAGCAGCACCATCACCACCACTATCATCACAATCATCAGCAACAACACCAACAGCTTCATGCCGTTGGCGGTCACGTTGCTGGGAACAATAGTGCCGCCGGTAGGAGTGGTAACAATCATCCTCCTGGCAGTAACACTATCCTCCATCGTTCAACGAGCCAGAAGCAGGGTCATCCTAAACAGCCCTTTTCTCTCCAGCGCTTGCCTTCGCGCTGGCATGAGCTAACGCACTCAAAATGGCCGCCTCAGGAACATCAGCAACAGCAACATAACGCGCAACAGAAGCAGATCTCCTTCAAGAACAAGCCTACCCACCAGATGGTCAGCAATAAGAAGCAACTTCAGCAGCAGACCGAAAAAGCGTAATGTCGTGTGCATGTGTGTACTAGTATGTGAATGGAAGTATGCGTTAAAGACCAAGAAAACGGCACGGAAATTTCTTTTATAAGAACAGGGAAAGAAATAAAGAGAGAGAAAAAAAAAAGATGGAAGATGTTTATCAAGAATCGATGAAGTAAACTGCTAACTTATTCCAACCAGGCTGAAAATCGTTACCGAGAGTTCATGTGGCGGATGAGGAAATAAGATTAAAAAAAAAAAAAAATTAAAGTTCGATCGAATGTATTTTTCTTTGTCTCTGTTTCTCTCTTACTTCTTTACCTTTTCTCTGGTTCCATTTTTACTTCTAATCAAATCAGCGTCGTTTTCTTGTCCGTTTTGCAAAAAGGGATTGAAAGAGAGTGATCGATTGAATGAATGAATGAATAAATGAATAAATGAATGAATGAATGAATGAATAAGTGAGTGAGTGAGTGAGTGAGTGCATAAATGAATGAGTGAGTGAGTGAATGAGTGAATGGAAATTATTGAAAAAATCGGTAAGAAGTTGATTATCCATCAAAGATTCTTATATATTCACGACGTATGTATGAAAAACATAAAAAAAAGAGGGGTTGAACGTTGTTAAGGCGGTAAAGTCAAAAAGATCAATCAATACGTCAGCTTGCTTTTTTAAAGTAAAAAGCAGGAAAAAGGAAAAATAGAGAGAAAAAAGAAAAAAAATAGAAGAAAGAAAAAACGGGACAGGGCTCGCATCAGTAAAAGTTTGAGGCGAGTGGGCTGCTATTGCTAACCATGTTTTACGTACTTAAATCTAGTTCAATTCTTAACAATCCTTACTGTTTAAGCGAGTATATTACGAAACTGTGTAATGGTCTTCACTGTTGAATCAGAAAGAGCCGAAAAACAAACAGAGAAAGATTGAGAGAGTGAATGAGCGAGTGAACGATTATGCGAGCAAAAGAGTGTGAGTGAGCACGAGAAAAGATATATAATATATGTACGTAGTGTGTGTGTATATATATACATATATATTTGTATATATTATACACATACATTTTACAATATATATATATATATATATATATATATATTTAAATATATAGTACCTACTTTACAGATAGAGTGACATATGTTACGTCCAGCTGTTAATACGTGTCACGCGTTCACCTACAGTTTATAATCGTGTGATACACAATTTAAAACAAGGTGTGACGCATAATCCTACATCGCAATTTTCACATTGATATCTCCTATCAATGGTATCCACAGTTCGTTATGTGGATGCCGACTAAAGTCGGCGTTGGTATTGAAAGAGTTAATACGGACAAAAAATGTATCACAAGTTACATCGGAAAGAGGAGAATAAGAAAGGATAGAGAGATTCTCGTAGCTCTGAGAGGGATTACGTCATTTCCAATTATTTATAATCCGTACTAACTTTCTTTAATAACTTTTTGTGCTAGTCAAGGAAGACACAGAGACACGTGTACTTTACCTACCACCGGTTTATCCCAAAGATCAGTCAGTATTTGGCGTCGTTTCTACGTACGTTTTACGCGCATCTCTTTGTTTTTTTTTTTCTTTTTTTATATATAAACAAATGTATTACTACTTATATTATTACGGACAGTCATCGAGTTATTCTGATATCCTTACATAACAAGAAAGAAAAAACAAGGGGGGAGGTAATTGGGAAAAGTAGAAAAAGAGAGATAGCGGAGGTAGAGGATGAAGAAATAATAAGAGAACGATTCAACTAAGAGTCTTTCTATTTAGATTTAATATTATCGAAAAGATTTCACCATCTTTAGGAGAATGCGTCTAGTCTCTATATACACGTATATATTTATACATACCCATAGGACAGAAAACAGACAACACACACGCACACACTCACACACACAAACAGACAGACAGACAGACAATTTCATGTAGAAACGTATTTGTGCAACGTACTCAAAGGAGTGCGCGATCTCATGATTAAACAATATCCCGAGAAAAATTTGCTTTTGATGAGCATTGCCGAGAGTATAACGACTATTCATTGTCATATTATTTCTAGTAGGTGAAAAAAAAGGACTTGTACCAAGTCTTTAATTAAATCGTGTGTCCCCCGTCACGTGGAAATATATTATAAATACATCTCTCACAATATTATCTAGTTAGATTATTATTATTAAAATTATAAATATTATTATTATTATTATTATCATCATCATTATTACTATTATTATTAATTATTATTATTA